TATCCCGGTTAGCCAGCACTGGTGATAACACCATGAGGACTGTGTATTTAGAGAACTTGCCTCGGCCTAGCATTCTCAGGGGGGCAGAGGAGGTCGCTCCTGTTGTTCAAGCAGAGCCGAGCTGGATCGATCCGCTCACGAGCTTCCTGCTACACGGGATCCTCCCCGCAGATCGTAATTCCGCCAGGAGGGTAGAGCGTCAGGCAGCCAAATACGTCATGATAGACGGACGACTGTATCGAAGATCCTACACACTCCCCTACCTACGTTGCCTACGACCCTCTGAAGCCGAGCTCGTCCTCCGCGATACTCATGAGGTCCTGTGCGGTGGACACTTGGGGGGTAGAGCCCTCGCTCAGAAAGCACTACGACAGGGGTATTACTGGCCAACGATGAAGGAAGATGCGACCAAGCTCGTCAAAAAATGCGACAAGTGTCAGAAGCATGCCAACATCCACCACCGACCTATCGTCGACCTAAAGTACCTCACTAGCCCGTGGCCATTTGCACAATGTGGGATTGACTTACTCGGGTCATTCCCACCAGCTACAAGACAAAGGAGGTTTCTGGTGGTGGCAGTTGACTATTTCACGAAGTGGGTCGAAGCTGAACCTCTCGCAACAATCACAGCCTGGAACATGCATAACTTCTTTTGAAAGAACATAGTGTGTCGTTTCGGATTACCTCAGGTATTGATCTCCGACAATGGTAAGCAGTTCGAAGATATCAAATTCCAAAACTAGTGTCGAGACATGGGAATTCAACAGAACTTCACCTCAGTGGCGCACCCTCAGGCAAATGGTCAGACGAAAGTCATTGGACTCACCCTTTCTAATGTTCTACATGTTCCTAAACTGCCCATAAATTTGTTCTCTGTTAGTAGTATGGCAAATTCGTTAAACTACTCAATAACCTTTTTTCCTTCCTCTTGTATGATACAAGATTTGGCCTTGGGGAAGATGATTACTAGAGGTTGTATGGTAGATGGTCTTTACATGCTGGAGAATAAAGCTAGTCTTGCGGCTATTGAGTCTAAAAGTCTGTCTAGTAAGAGTCAAGTCCATTTATAGCACAATCGTTTGGGTCATTTATCTTTTGAATCAATAAAAGTTTTGTTACCATTATTTAAATCAGTGTCAGTGTCCCCAAATTGTATATTTTATATTAAAAAAGGCTATCTCACCTCCTTAAATTTCTCTTAAACTATCTCTTCACCTAAAACTTCCTCATAAACTATATCTTCTAATCTCATCTCTTCCCTCTTCCTATATCTTTCTATTTAATTCCATCTACATCTCTGTCTTTTTTAAAAACATTTCTAACTCTATCCATATTTCTGTTTTTAGCTTGATTTTCATTTTTCAAAACCATGCTATCCACCCCTGAAATAATAGTAATAATTGATTTCTCATCGATGTATTAAAATATTAATGTTTAAGTTAAAATTTTCTTGAAGACAAGTAAAAATATCTAAAATAATAATAAATGGACAATACAAGACATATAATAAAATTAAAATAAAATTTTAATAATTAATTAAGTCTTATTGTAATTATAAATAATACAATGACAAAATTAAATGCAGTTATTTAATTAAATAGACTTAATTACTCTCAAATAATTACTATTATTCATTAAATACTTAAATCAATTATAGTTAATTAATGAAGTAGAGATGATCAATAATTGCTTAATTAATTAATATAAAATTACTCTTAATAATTGATAAGTAATTATAGTTAATTAATTACTGATTTTTTCAAAACAAAGTAATTTAATAGTTAATTTATCATATTTAATGAATTATTTAAATTATAATGATTGTTATTTTAATTGTTGTAAAAATATTTTATACTAATTATAATTAAATTATTATTGACAACTACTTAAATTATTAAGTATAAATGTAATTAATAATTATGGAAAATATTATTGAATTTATCATAATTTGTGTAAATTATGTTACTTAATTAGTTATTAAGTTGTTTAGAAAAGTAATTTAATATTAAATTAGTAAATTTACCATAATTTTGTTAAGTAAATTACTGAATTGTTTAAGTAAAATTTCATAGTAATTAAAATAATTTCACATTTATTTACTTAGTTGGATAAAATAATTTGACAATAATTAAAATCACAATAATTAAGCTCAACCTAGGCTCAACCCTTAGAATTGGGCTTAAGGCCCGAGCCCAATTCGCACTAAGGCTTGGATCATTGAGCTTGGGTTAGTCAATAAGCACGCACTAAAATTTAACTAATATATAGTATAGGGGTTGGGTGGGGTGGAGGAGTAAGTCAAACCAAAGTATAAGAATATTGTTTATAATTTGGTATTATGACTTGATAGGGGGTTAGCCAAACCTAAAATCGATTTGGGTTAAATAATCAAAACTCTAACCTAACCCTACACCCAATTTGGGTTAAAACGAACGTTGAAAGAAACCACAAACTTTAAGGTTAGGGATTAGAAATTAGACCAAATTACAAGAATACCCTTTATATGTATAGTATAGGGGTATTATGACCCAAAACAATCAAAACTCTAACTTGGGTCCATATCACCTACCAACAAAATACGCTCCAATACTCTACCAACAACATTTGACACCCTACATCTCATACATGGCATGTCCCACTTGTATGGTGGGCCCCAATTTTATAGTGAGATATGTAGTGTCAAATCAAGTTGGTAGGCTGTTGGAACTTGTTTTTGTTGGCAAGTGATCCCAACTCTTCTAACCTGACCCTATACCCTAATAACTGTGACCCTAACTTGACAATGTAGGCATGAGGCTTATGTGTTGAGGCGAGAAACACATTTTGCCTCAAGACTTGAGCCTTACAACTTTGATGCGAGGCTTAAGCCTTTGTTAGAATGAGGTGTAAGCCACAAGCCTCAAAGCGTGAGGCGTAAGGCTAAAGTATCAATGATTATTTAGTGATTTAATGCAAAAACTATTTTATGCATTTTTATAGTTCAAAACATATGGAATAAGCACTTCAATAATCAAGTCTATTAATTTCTCTTAGTGTTTTTTGAAAGTTCAATGCAAAAGTGCCAATCACATTCTTAGTTCCTCTAGGATTTATCAAGTGATATTTTTTTCTCATTATTATAAATCTAACATCCCAAGTTATTTATTTTTCTCATTTCTTTTATCCAATGGATTTATTTTCTTTTTATTGATTATTTCGCATAGATTAAATTAATTAAGTTTTTTTTTTCTTTCTTCTAAACTATTAAATCACCATAAATCTAATATCCCAATTATATGGACAATTATTCTTATGTTTCCTTTCTTATAAATTGGTTATTTGAATTATTTGAGAACTTTGTATTTTGAAACATGAAATGTAAAATATAATGTTTATAATTGTTGGTGATTAGTTATTATTTTATTTAATGCTTAAACGTTGAAACTTATTGTTTATAAGTTTTTATTTTATGGATATTTATACCTTCTACCATTTTAACTTGGTAAATTATATGATGTTTTTATCAATTTATAAACTTTAATTAATTTTATTCTTAAGCTTTGAGTATTACACTTACACCTCACCTTTTTGGGCTATTATGCCTTGACTATGCCTTTAACCTTTTAAACCTTGGTTGAATTTACTATTTGACTTGACCCATTAACATCTCTATATGAGATTAGTCAGTGTCACTAGAATTTCAATTTGGATTATGCTCGAAACAATTAAATATAACTCAAAAAATATAATATTTGAATTGGCTAAATTAGAAATGTCATAAGGTTCTTTCTACTTCAATTTTATATAACAAGGAACAGTATTTTGTATATTAAGACCTACCTTTATTTTGTATTTTACTTATAGTTTGCAACCACTTAATCAACCTTCTTTTTGGAATAGTTTTTATTTGTCTTTGTTTGGGAATGGTCATATGGCCTCATCAAATGAGTAGAAAATGTGGAAGGGCATGAGTTGAGCGTTTTTTTATTTTAAAATTACCGTCATTAATTCTTATATCAATCTTTTAGGAACAACACCCCCCCNATTATAACTTGGTCACAAGGTTCAAAGGTTACATCGGGTGTTTTGAATCAACAAAACTTTTTTTTTTTCTTTTAGTTTTCTATTTCAAACTGAGGTTGTGCTTTGTATCATTGCTGTTTCTACTAGAAATTTTGGATTTATCACTATAAATTTTTGAAAAATTGTATTGGTACATCACATTAGATATAAGTTGACTACACTCCACTTTAAGAATTCTGAATTCAACTGCAGACCTACAACAATTTAAAATTATAAATACTTCCACCTATAATACTCATATCCGCTTGTAAATTGGCATCAATTTCGAGCTGACACCTATCCCAACTGTACGTGGAATTAAGATTTTTTGGGGGACTGAACAGTAAAAACCCCAAAAAATGTATGTATTGGGTTGATATTGACATTGATAATAGAAACATCAAATTTGAACTTTCATGAAAGAGGTGGATACGATACTACTTGCATTTAATACTAAAAATGGATTTTTTTTTTTATATAAACAGTGGTCTATTTTAATTTTATCAAATATTTATATTGATAAACTCCAAACATTACCAAACACAACCCTAATTAGGGGGTAAAAGAAAAAAGAAAAGAAAATGAAAACCTAGGTAGGGGGTTGGTTTTTGGCATGCTTATCAGGGTGAAAACCCCAATATAACCAATGATTTTACAAGAGGTCACGTGACCATTACAATGGCAAAAGTACAAATGGTTCCTTTATCAGATCAGAAATTCAGAATCAGAAGAACCGTTTAAACTTGTAGGGGTGTTTTAATAATATTCAAACTTATAGGGTGGGTTTTAATAAATACGTCAAAATACAGGAGTGTCTAAGTAAATGACCCGGTAAGGCGGTAAAGAGGTGAATAAAAAAAGAAAGAAAACGGTTAAAAATAGAAAAAGACGGGAGGAGAGAGAGAGAGAGAGCGCGCGGGGGATGGGGAGGGGGGGTTTAGTTTTAGGCTTTTAGTAGGAGTATTAGTTGGGTGGTGGTGGTGGAGGGATGTTTCTGGAGCGAGGAGGTTTGGGTAGAGAGGGATAGCTGTCAAAAGGACATTTCGGTCAGCGAACGCTTCAACTGCAGTTTTTCCCGGCTCTCAGGTACTCACTCAGCTCTCTCCCCCCTCCCCCCCTCCATTGCGCTTCTGACCTGCCAGATTAGAGGTCCTCTCACCCACATTTCTCTCTTTCTCTCCCTTTGCTAACTTCTCTCTCCCTCTCTCTCTTTCAATTCTGCTCTCTTTCTTTCCATGATTGGCTAGGGTTAGGGTTAGGGTTTGGTTTGATCCTCTCACAGGAGGAATTGCTGTTTGATTCTGGTTTTTCTTTACCTTTTCTACATTGGAGTTCCAAATTTGGTAGGGTTTTGTTGAGAAATGGGGTTTTCTTTTGGGTTTTGTTGTTGAGCAGATGCACGGTTGAAGAAGACGAAGAAGAACGAGAAAGAAGAAGACTTTGGCGTTGCGAGTGGGTCGTCTTCGTCGTCGGAAGAAGATCTGCAGCTGCATCTTCGCCGGCGGAAATGAGCGCGTCTAGGTTTATAAAGTGCGTCACGGTCGGGGATGGTGCCGTTGGTAAAACATGTATGCTAATTTCCTACACCAGTAACACATTCCCCACGGTGAGTTTTGAATTTATCACCTTCTCTTTCCTTTGATTCCGAATAAATTCGGCCTTTTCTCTCTGTATCTTTTCGTGGATCACGTAGAGTAAAAATTCTACCTTATTCACGATTCCATGTTTTTGTTTTTTCAGATCAATTTGTGGAATGTAGTTACTCAATGCAAAGTTAACATTTTGCATTTAAAAAATGAGAAGCCACCATTTTCTTTTTCTTCTTTTTTTCATTATTTGGGCGTTTGTCATCTTCTATTCTTCAGGAAGTCGTTGGGAATAAAAGAAATTCTATCTTGAGACTTTTTTTTAATGAATAATTCTATCTTGAGATTTCATACTTGTTAAATCGTTCTGTTGATGTCGGTTTATGTTTGCGGGTTAGTAGGGCTTCTTTCCTTGGGCCTTGCAATATTTCTTTGAGTTAGGTGCAATATTTATGCCTAGAATTCTTTCGTCCTATTAAAGTTTCCAATTTCTGAGTTGATGCAGATAACTCTTACGCTACAGAAGATAGTCCATTTTCTATTTTCTTTATTTAGCACTGGTCTGCTTGATTCCTTGAAATGGCTTTTCAAGGAAAAAAAATTGCTTCTATAGTTTAGTTTTGTTTCTGTTTGATTTGGGATTGGTTACTGTGTCGGAATATTATTGTTCACTTTTGTGTTGTAATGGACAACAGGATTACGTGCCAACTGTTTTTGACAATTTCAGTGCAAATGTGGTTGTTGATGGGAACACGGTCAACCTTGGGTTGTGGGATACTGCTGGTAATGATATTAACTGGTTCTCCCTTCCACCCCTTCTTTATTGTTCAGTTATTAAGTTTTATGTTTTACATGCTCTTGTTATTTTGTGAAACAGGTCAAGAGGATTATAACAGATTAAGACCATTGAGCTATCGAGGGGCAGATGTTTTCCTGCTTGCTTTCTCTCTAATCAGCAAGGCCAGCTATGAGAATGTTGCCAAGAAGGTGAGAACTCAGTCATATGCATTCAAAATCGGATCATGACCTTCTTTGGAGAAAGAAAATTTCTCCTTATTTGTAAATTTAGGGTTTCCAATGATTTATTGCTGGTTTTCATTGTCATTTTCAGTGGATTCCTGAACTGAGGCATTATGCACCTGGCGTTCCCATAATTCTTGTTGGAACAAAGCTTGGTTAGAATTTTTCTTCTGCCTCATTTGATTTCTCACACTGTTTTTGATGTTCTTGTTACTTCTTGCCGTTATCTGTGTATATATAATTCCTTAATATTTTTAAGTTTTGCTTTGTTTCAGTTTTTGGTGTTAGAAAAACTTATCTGATCCTTTGTGGTCAGTGTTCCATGGACATACATGGGCACGGGAATCAGAACCCAATGAGTGTCTGGGAAACCCCACTGTTTGAACTTATGACTACTATGAGTTAAGCTTGAATTATTAATTGGCTTATTGAGAGGTAGGCAGGGATCATTGGTTAAGGATTTTGGCTCACGCTCTCGTCTGAAATATGTATGGTTGGCACAGAAGCTCTCTACAGAATTGGAATGTACTAATCTTGGCAATGACAACAAGTTTTATTTTTTATTTTACTGTACTGCATGAATTCAGAATTCTTCATATGTTCTGCTGCATGCCCTACAGTATGTTCTGGTTATGAGAGTTGCCAGCCCAGATCCAAATCCCTTAATTAGCTCTGGTTAATGAAGGTTGTTACTTCAGTCTTATTTATCTATTTTAATTGGCAAGTCCAGTCATTATCACCATCTAATAGTCAAATCAGTGCATACTTTTTTATGATTGATCCCATTGTTTGTACCTTTTAGCATTTTAATGAATGAAAAAACCTATAATGAATTATGACCTTAATGCTGTATCATGTGCACCTTATTTTTACATTCCTTGTCAATGGAGTTTTGTTAGAGAACTGTGGTTTGATTCTTTCTTCTCTTCTAGAGTTTTAAACTTGTCACTGCAGATGACTAAAGATTGTTCTCTTGTCAATGCTTGATGGTAAAGACCTGTTCTTTTTCTTAAGTGGTCATGTCATCTTTTATTGATTTTGTGGTCATTTACTTCTCAATGATGTGTTTGTAAAAGTTATCTATGACCCAAATAAAAAAGGGCAGCCCAGTGCACGAGGCTCCTGCCAATGTGGGGTCTGGGGAGGGATGCAGCTTTACCCCTGCAGATACACATAGAGGTTGTTTCCAATATTTGAACCCTGGTTATCTATGGCCCAAATGCTTCATCAGATATCCTTTGGACAAAAGAAAAAGTAAGCATGTGCACAGTAGCCAATGAGCAGATAGCAGGTCAAATTCATGGTTTTCTTCATTCTAATCTGAACATCATAGTTGAATCATTTTTTATCCTTAGGCTTTGTGCCTTTGTCTGCAGCACAAATCTGAACTGGATACAAATTTTGCACCCATTTCAGTTTTGCATCTCTTTGTTTGTTGCCATGATTTTCCTTCTTACCTGACACAATATGTATACTTTTTTTTTTCTCATTTGCACTCACTAGTAGTGCAAATTTTGCATCCCAAGAACTGATGCAAAATTTGCACCACCTTTCCTCCTACCTTAATTCTCTCTCATATAAAATGGGGATCACATAATTTTGCTTCCTATCACACTCCCAAACAAATAACCCCATCTTATTTCCATTATCTTTCATATAAAGTGGACACCACTTCATTTTACTTTCTATTTTATTTCTCACAAGGAAATAAGACAAGGTCAAGTCTAAAGCAAAAGCAAACCAGAATTTACACTCAGCCTATTTGCACTCGCATGCATTTACACACACACACACACAAAAACTTATCAGTTTGGGAAGAGTACAAAACAAGTATGTACAGTACAAAACCTTGTGTATTGTATTTCCAAGCCTTGTATTTGTAATGTACATATTTGTATTTGTACTCTTCCCAAACTGAGCTACGTGTTTGATGTAGATCTTGTGGAACATAGGACCACCATGGATTTGGCACAATTTTTTTATTTTTTTTTTTGAAACCAAAATTTTGTAATTTTGGCCACCAGAAGACACAATGGTAATTTTAATTTTAATATGCAAAATAAAGACTATTGAAAACTGAAATATCAACTAAAATTTTGGCAGTTTTGAAATATTATGAAATTAGAAGCAAACCCTTGATCTACTCTTATGCCCAACAGAAATAATGTAGTAAAAAATTTTCTACTAATAGAGGCAAACCCTTCACCTATTTTATGACTCCTAATGATTTTGCTCTTCAGATCTTCGGGATGACAAGCAGTTCTTTGTTGACCACCCTGGTGCAGTGCCCATTTCTACTGCTCAGGTAAAGAATTAAAGCTTTACCAAAAGAAATGTTAGATTTTATCTCTAAGCTTCTTGGGAATAACCTCCCTCATTTCTTGCTGCAATATTCAAGGGCGAAGAGCTGAAGAAGCAGATTGGGGCTCCTGCCTACATTGAATGTAGCTCAAAAACACAGCAGGTATGCTTGATTTATATCTTCAAGATGCTGTTGTCAATTGTTAAGATATTGATATTGATGGGCACTATGCAACCTCTCTTGCAATTGCAGAATGTCAAGGCAGTCTTTGATGCAGCCATTAAGGTGGTTCTTCAGCCACCCAAGCAAAAGAAGAAGAAGAGAAAGTCGGGTCAAAAGAGTGCTTGCTCCATTTTGTGATCATGGAAAGAATAGACGTGAGAGTAACGATAACCTACCAGCTTTTCTCCTTGTAGTCTCCCCTCACTCTCTCTTTTCCTCTTTTCCTTTCTCTTGAGGAATCAGCAGTGGCTTGGGGTATAGTCTCAACTGACAGTACTAGGGAGCTCTCTCTGGAAGCATCAGGTGGTTTGTTTCTCGCTTTATCATCAGTCTTGTGGTGATCTGTAATCAATGATCACATTATGTGGCAGCCTACACACCACTTTTGTTATTCGGATTTAGATTCATCTCATATATTAACCAGATGTGGGGAAGATCCCCCATCTGAGAACAACTGTTTCCCTGCTGGACCTGATTATATTCATATTTTTGTATCCCTATTTAAAACACTGCAAAAGGCTTTTTGCTGGCTATGTTTGCAATTCTGTTTCTGTTTGTTTTATTTTATTATTATTATTTTTTTTATTTTGTGCTTGAATGCGGATGCAACAACCGTGGTGCGTTAATGTTTTGTGTTTTTGGTGGCAAAACACATTTTAATCTTTAATTCCAGTTGCTTTGCTTTCTTCCAGAGTTTTAATTTTCTTTGATTGCTAAAGTAGGAGAACGTTGTTCATCTGTTGTATGATGTGCCTAGCTTGCCAGCCTTCTTTGATCTAAGACCGAGAGCTGACCCCTAAAACTGATGGTTACAAATCTATGGACGGCATAAAGAAAATTAAGAGAAAGAGGGAAGCTCAGTTCCAGGATGTCTTTCGGTCTTATCCGGCTTTTCTCTACTTTTCAAGTGGGTGGATTTTGCCAGTGGTCATCATCGTCTCTTATTTCTTTTGTTTTGGTTCCTTTTTTTTCCATGGATAAAATTCAAAAGCATCTCTACTGTCAGTTGCGATCGCCTGCTATGCTTTTTAGTCACTAGGTTCCCTTTTTCACAAGAAGGAATTTGGAAGTAGTCCAGATTCTCTGAGACAGAACTGTTCAAGCTAAGCACGAATAACTTCTCCTGGGGTGAGCCGGCGGCTGGTGGGTCCTAAAATTCCTGATTTTGACGTGAGAATGTTGTGTAAATCTATCATGCATTTGAACAATCATTTTGAATGAATGATGTGGCTCCATGCGTGTAAAATTGATATTCTGCGACGTTTAGGTAAAATTGTTGTGCTTTGGTTCTGTTGGACTGATTAGTAGACTAAAAGTTGCGATGGTCCTGTATAAATATCTGTCGGGTAAAATTTTGATTCTGACTGCGGTGATGGGAGAGGTGTCACCTTAATTGCTTGCCTTGCCAAAGTACTCGTCAACTACTACTTTTTGGAGGGAAGGAGTTCAGAGTTCAGACTACAGAATTGGCCACTTGATCGGCCTTCGAGGAATATAATATTTGAGCGGCTCCTTTTCTCCCTCTCCCGATCAAAGATACCCACCCGCAATAAGTGATCAAGCGATTTCAGTGAAGCAACAATGGTGTAAAGTTTTTCTTTTTTGGAAATCTTGATTCTTGATTTATGGCTTTTGTTTACTGGAATCTATACTCCCCACCCACTTTCTCCTCCGCCTCAAGGAAATGATGGACCTCTCTCTCTCTCTCTCTCTCTCCATCCATCCATCCATCCATCCATTATATAAATATGCATCCCATATACCCTTCCTTCAAGGAGTATCCAGTGATCGTTTTCTTTGGCATTCCCTTCCAAGTTACAGCCCTTGGATTTCATATCATCTCTCGAGATTGCCAAAATGGCTTCCAAGAGAATTAGCAAGGAGCTCAAGGACCTGCAGAGAGACCCACCAACTTCATGCAGTGCAGGTACCAACGTGAATAACTTGAAAAAAACAAAATTATTTTTGTGACCAGTTTCTAATTTCGCATGGTTTTGGTTATTGTTGCGTAATTGATTATGGAAGTGGAGTGTTTTCATTCAGGTCCGGTGGCAGAGGATATGCTCCATTGGCAAGCAACCATCATTGGTCCAAACGACAGCCCATACGCTGGGGGTGTTTTCCTTGTAACCATCCATTTCCCACCTGATTATCCTTTCAAGCCTCCAAAGGTACAAATCTTACATATTTCCTGAGTTTATGATCATCTCTTATATAACTTGAAAGGACTCTATTTGATGAATCTTGAACTGGTGACAGGTTGCCTTCAGGACCAAAGTTTTCCATCCAAATATCAACAGTAATGGAAACATCTGCTTGGACATACTCAAGGAGCAATGGAGTCCAGCGCTCACCATAGCCAAGGTAGTGCTTCTTCGAGTTTGTGTCTGGTTGATGTTGATCACCAGAGCTGTCCATTCATCATTCAACTGCCCAGGACTTATTTACTACTTTCATCCCTGTTTGTGCAGGTTTTGCTCTCCATATGCTCGCTTCTTACAGATCCAAACCCAGATGATCCACTGGTTCCTGAGATTGCTCATATGTGCAAGACTGACAAGGTCAAGTACGAGTCCACAGCTCGCATCTGGACTCAGAAGTATGCTATGGGTTAAACCCCCCAATCTCTTATAGTTATAACCAATCTTACACTAAAATGATTCCCCTTCTATTCCAGAATCTCATTTATCTAAAGCCTGGCACTTTGATGCTAGTGTGGACATTCTATATTGAATAACCAGCTTAGTTTTTCCCTTTTTTTTTCTATTTTTTTACTTAATAATAAATAAAATTGGTAAATGTTGGCTTGTTTGGAATAAAGATCTTCTTCTCCTGGGCCATTTACAAACTAACGGATTGAAGCACATATAACATTTTAATCCTCCCTGGACCAGCAAAACGTGGGTAAAATAGGCAGCCGGCAATGGGGCATTTGGGGAAATGTCAAATTCTTGTTTCCCCCAACGTTTTACTGTTTCTTAAAACTCAATGCTAATGTGTCACACTTTAGTGGGTATTAATTTGGGATGGAGAATAAAAAACATTTAAAGTGAAGTCCAACCAAACAACAAAAACAAAAAATGTTTAAAATAAAAAACATTTAAAGTGAAAAAACACAGATAAACAACCACCCATAAACATAAACGGAACCAAACACCCTCTTGTGGCACGGAAAATAGAACCATTGGATCAGATTTGAACAATTTACTACCACATTTGATGAAAAGTTTCAGCAACTACATTTTTTTTTCTTTTTGACGGTTAGTGATTTGCAACTCAAAAGTTTCATTCAGTGTTATAAGTTGTCAGTTCATAGAGAAAAGTTTTTACACATGAACATTTGCTGCAACCGTGATCACAATACTCCCCTTTGCAGACAAGTTATGGAAATAAAAAAGCAGTTTTCGAATTTAAGTTCATCAGGTCCCAAGATGTTCTTCGTTTTTTTGGTGGGGGGAGACCGGATCTGCTCCTCACAAAGACCACCTCACACCGAACTCATAGGCACATGCCCCCATGTATTGGGAGCATCTCTCGTACTTGTGTTATTATTCGGGGGGGGGGGGTGCCCAATGACACATCAGGATCTACTTCTCACAAGGCTGTTTATATCAAGTTGCATAATAGAACGGTACATTCATTCATGAACATAATACTGGCATGTTCGCTCTTAATTTGATTATATAGCCCATTACAGACAAGCTGTGCGAGAGAACTACTCCCCAGTGACCATAGTAATGGGTCATTGCAAGGTGCAAACATGTCACAAATGAATTCCTTGTTGCGCCATCAAATGTCATCCACTGTGCCCACCACATGCCATCCAAGTGTCTTGGATGGGGCAATATATGTATTTTGTAAGGAGGGAATGCCTATGACATTATTATAATTATGAGTTTGATTTTTCACCACTAGTGATGTTTCCTTCTGCCACTCTCCCAAAAGCTTAACATGTTCTTTGAGGATAGATAACTGAGTGTGTTAATACCGTATAAAGGTTAAGGCCATTAAGCACGAGATCACCTCATACAAATTTGTATGCTTGTGCTCATCATCTTTAATGTAAATACAAAATACCTTTTGACTAATTCATGTGTCATCTTATTGTCCGTTGTTAGAATTAGTTTTTTTTTTTTTATTTCTACTGTTAGGGTGCTGTCAGTCTAGGATGTTCTCAGCATGTTCTTTTTTTTGTTTAAGTTCTTATTATTAGGGTGGACCACTAGGGGCATGCTTGTAATTTCTATTTCTTTTATTTTACATCATGTTAATATAAATAGGAAGCTGGGAGCCACCAGCTTCAGTTTTTTTGACTCTCAAACACTTTTCCTCTTCTCTTCTCTTCGTATCCCTCTTCTCTCCTCTCCTCTCTCTCTTCTCTCCTCTCCTCTGAATCACATTCCTTCCACCCAGAAATCTTCCACCTAGTTTTCTGACTCTTGGACAGCGAAGGCAGAAATCCTAATCGAATTGATCAGAACCATCAACTCTTGCTATTTTTTTTTTCTGGGTTCTTCCTTACTCGTAGCACCAAGGTGACTCTAGTAGGAGGGGGCTGATGCTGTGAAGGCTCTCTTTCTTTTGGCTGATGCTGTGAAGACTCAGTCTTGGAACTGCACCTTCGTACAGGTGTTGTATAGGGATGTGTGATTCCCTTTTTTGTCACAGGTATGTGCTATGATTGGTTGATATGTGTGTGCATAGACCAATGATAACTGAAGTCTAAGTTTTTCGACTATTCCTAGACGGTTTGAGTGCTGATAGAGGATTTCAGCACTGTTTGGTTGAAGTCTAATTTCCTGGATGGCTTGATTATTGCTAGAGGATTTCAACAGTGTTTTGGACTGTTTTTTTTTTGAACTATTTAATGGCTGCCATTAGATTTTAGTTGTGGGTTCTTTGTTTCAGAAGCAGATTTATGATTGTTTAGTGCCCTAATTGTAACTGTGAGAGTTGGTAGTTGAGTGGGGATTAGTCTTGTGCACCTGCGGTTTAAGTTTTGTCTTGTAGCCTTTGTTTTTGTCAATGGAAAATGATGGTTCTGCCTCATCTAGGGCTACATCAACCCGTAGTACAGCTGGTATGGGAGCTTAAAATATGATATTTCCTATGCCAGTTACTCCTTTGAATGGCTTGAACTACCTGGAGTGGGTTAAAGGTGTAAAACCTTATATAACAGCCAAGGGAAAAGCTAGGTACATAAATGGAAGAGTGAAAGAACCCAAGAATGGGACAACTGAACATGATAGGTGGGACCAAGAGAATAGTATGGTGATGTCCTGGCTTCTGGCAGCTATGGAACTTGATGTGAAAAAGAACTTTATGTGGGTTGACACCACTAGTGAAATATGGGAACAGGCCAAAACCACTTATTCTAAGCAGAGGAACATGATGATGATACTAAAGCCTATAAGAAGTTGGTTCCTCAACAACAGGTTTTTGCTTTCTTGTTGGGACTAAACCTCGTATATGAACCTCTTAGAGTTCAGATTTTAGGGAGTAAAGAGTTGTCTTTAATTCAAGAAGTTTATGCCCTAGTTCAATCTGAGGAAAGTAGTATGAGAGTGATGGTTACAACTGAGGGGGAGCAACAGGTGGCGTTAGCTGCAATGGGCGGTAACAATATGGAAAAGAAAAATGACTCAAAGAAAGTTAATAAGGACAAATTGTTTTGTAGCCACTACCGACATTCAAGACATACATGGAACACATGTTGAGAGCTCCATGAGTAGCCAAAGTGGGCTGTAAAGAACCAAGAATAGGGTAAGGTGCAGGGTCAGAAGAAGCCTAATACAGCACATAATGTGGAAAATGTGGCAACCCAAGATACTCAGTTTGGTGGAATGTTGATTGGTACTGCTTGGGAGTACTTCACTGGTTCTGACCCCAAGGAAGATATCATGAATTCCTTCCGAAATCACTTGGAATCATATGGTAGGGCCTTACACTAGATGGACAGTTTAGTCACTGGTACCCCTTTTACTTCATTTGCGTCTACATCAGGTAATGCAGCCTCTACCTTCCATGTATCCACTACCCCTGATTTTTTTTTATCACTGTTCATTAATTATCACATTGAGAATTACAAGAGGAAGAAACTTTCTTATCTTCCAACTTCAGCTTGAGCCCCAAGAAATGAAAAAGAGAGAAAAAGAAGAGGAAAAATGAAAAAGAAAAAAAAACAAATTTAAATTATAATTGTGCCCAAAATAATGACTCCCTGTCCACTCCTTGTTTAGCTAACACATCAGCAAAAGAATTAGCTGATCTTTTTACCCAATTGATTTTAACTTCCATTTATCGAACCAGCCATATGAATTTCCTTCTCATATTGCTATATCTCCATACACCACTATCGTCTTTATTCAGCCACCTAACCACCACCTCTGAATCCCCTTCAATTATGAGTTTTCTGAGATTTAACTCCCTAGCCTTTTGGACTCCTTCCAAGATTGTACGGATCTCAGCTTTAAGGAAGTCATCCACTCCAATTAGGCCAGAGAACATGACAGAAACAACCCCATTCTTGTCCCTAAAAACACCCCCAATCCCTGATTGTCCAGGGTTCCCTTTTTTACTTCCATCAAAGTTTAGTTTTATGAAGCCCGCAAGTGGGGGAGTCCAAGACACACTCATTACTGTTTTAGTCTGGATACAACTAGAAATCTCACCCCACTTCCTCAGCATGATAGCTCTAGGGATTTCATCCACTATATAACCCTTATATGGATCAGGGCCCTCAGATCATCAGCACTTCTCTCTTCTTCATAGAAGATCTTGGAATTTCTTTCTTCTCATAAAGACCAATAGATTGCTGCCCTCATTCCTCTCCACATAGTCCTCCCCCTTTTCATACGCCACCTAAAAAAGGAGCAAAAAGACTGCGTATTTGACGGAGGATTCCAAGTACACCCAAACAGAGAGAATGCCTACTCCCAAATAGATTTTGCAAATTGACAAGACACCAGTAGATGGAAACCAGTCTCTCCATCAACTTCACAAAGAACAAACCAATGAGGGGACAAACAATAATTGGGTCTCTTCTTTTGGAGTAGATCACTAGTGTTGATTATTTTCATAAATGCTTCCCAAAAAAACTTCCAACCCTAGGATGAATTGGTCTGCACCAAACCGCATTAATAGGGAAGGGGGAGTTACATGATTGGTGGATTGACTTAACACTTTAAAGTATGAGGCACAGGAGAAGGAACCAAGAGGGTGGGGGTCCAAATTCTAGAGTCTTCCTTAGCTGAGTCTAAGAACACATTATCAAGAAGTTGGATGAGACTCAAAACAGTGTCAAGGTTTGAGTCTCTCACAACCATTTTCAACCCCAAATTCCAACCAAACCCAAGACTAGAAGAGGAAGGCGTTATGAAAGAAGAAATTGTCTCATTTTTAAAAGCAGATAGGGCATACAAAGAAGGAAATTGGTCTTTTAAGGGGCATTTCCCACCCAAATTTGTTCCCAAAATTTTATGAAGTTACCTGAATTTAAATCATACCTGATAAGAGGGAGAAAAATAGTAATAGATCATGAATGGCTTTCCAAGGCGAAGCTCTTGTGGTCCTAGCCTAGAATCCAACATCCCATCCATTTAGCTCCAACCCATGTATATTTTCTACTATTTTAGCCTATAATTTCTCATTCTCTAGTGGGAATCTCCACAACCATTTCCCCAAAAGGGTCAAATTCCTTTCTCTAATGTTCCCAAGCCCTAACCCACCACTGTTTTTGCTCCAGGTCACCACCTTCCAACTTAC